TTTTTTTCTGCGTTTCCTTTTTTATGTGTGCCACTGTCAATAGAATGCCGATAATAAATCATAAATCATGGATCTTCAGGGCCAAGTGTGTAAGATCCTAGTCACTACATTCACTAATATGAAACTGCGCTGTTCATTTTCTGGTACACAGGCCGGAGCAAACGGTTCCCTTTACAGATACTACACTTGTAAGCCGACGAGACAAAATTTACACGCTCTGCCCAACGATCACTTCTACCTTTGAAATTTACAGTCCTTCCAAGAAGCTCAATATGGCCTACACCTCACGGTCAGCACAAGCCTGATCAGGGTATGAGTGGACTCAGTCGCGGCACTGTTAGGTTGCCGTGCTGGTGGGCATGGCTGGCGACGCCGCAGCTCAGCCGCTGCGCACGGGTTGCGTTGTCTCATGGGTCGCAAACGGTTAAAGGGATCACAGACGGACTGTAAGGCAACTCTGAATTTCCGCGCCATTCGCCGCGCGCGACGTGAGCGGCGCGAACTGACCAGCTCACGATAGAATCGCCCACCTCCCGTTGGTCCTAACTGAACAAGAAATATACATGACACTATATATTACAACGTTTCACAGCATAGACGGTTTTTGGATTATTAAGTCCATCCCGCCTTGGCAATGCTGCTCAAGCTATTCTCTATTTCATCTATACAGGGTCAACGACTAATGATTACAACGGCAAAAGGAAAAAATCTAGAAAAAGTGAACCACATGGCCATCGGAATCCATAAAGGTCTCGCATTTCATTTCATGCTCGTCATTACCATTATCGTGTCCATATACATCACAATCACTTCTAGACGGGCCTGACTCTCCTAAAAGAGAAATAATATCAGGCTACGAAAACCACAAATCACAACACTATTTGTTGATGTTGAAAAATAGTAAGGATATTCGGACGCTCGACCTGTTTTCAGACCGTATCATAAGTATAGACACACTTCAAGAACCCGGAATTTTTATTAGGAAAACAAACTGTTAACAATCTTGCAATAATTATTAGGTTGGCGGGAAAGTTCTGTCATACTTTTTTGAACCCAAGTATTCGCCTATTACCTGAAGAGGGCTAACCGGTAATGTGCATTTATACATTAAGGATTGATCTTTCTATTAGTGTCACTGGCTCGGCTCCTGCTCATCCTTATTCTGCATTATGGACAAGAATGTTATCCGCTACCTTCAGCACCGACCCCTTCAAGCGCTTCCTTAAACTATTTCTTCTACCACCCTGGCGCCAGCATGGCAGCTGTTCGAGAGCGCCAAATAATGAGGCATGCTCAAGACGACAATGCTCTACAGAATCGCGACAATCTTCCACGACAGCCATTTTCAGAGCCGTGAGCCTGCGGTTCGCATGAATGAAGTCAACGCGTTCGAGGCAGTACCATGTAAAACTCAGCTCTAAACGCATAGCTGGTGGGGTCGGCGAAACTACTGGGATGAAGAAGCCTGGGCCTCCTCCGTCAATGCCGCCTACGCAAGGCAGCCGTACGAGATCTGCGCATCTGTCAAGCCAGAGGGCCAATAAGTCCATACCGCATAGTCGCGTCCTTCAACGTGCTGGTGCAAGCAGCACGCACCCCCGTGTTCACAAAAAAGTTCGCAAGCCGTACTTCACCGACTAGATGGATGGCTCTCCCCTTGCACCCGTTGTACTTCAGAATTGCTCTTTCGACTGCATGCTAGTCGCCTCACCGGATTCAACCGTTCGAACAGCCGAGAAACACGACACGAACTAGCAGCCGCAAGTCAAAGTCTGAGATGCACTGTCCTATCTTTGCGAACGTGCCGCCGATGCCAGTGCTTAAGCGATGGCATCCACGAACTGTCCAAAAACTGGCAAGGATCTCTCAATAACATTGCTGTATAATTTTGATCTTGTAGCCTCTCTGTAAAAAGAAAGTCCAATTTGAAAAAATGTGACAGAACTTCCCCGCCAACCTAATAATTGGTCCTCCATTTTCAGAGATGATCTCGAAAGTGCGGTTTGGCATCGACTCTACCAGTAGCTCAGCAGCTGTTGATCAGAATGATCACATACCTGGCTGATTGCCGTCCGGAGATCTGCGACGTTTGAGAAAGTCCGTCCTTGACTGTAAATATCCCTGACGAGAATACCCAGATATTCCCTAGGAGTCACATGCGGAGATCAAGTGGGCCAGTCCGTAGTGAATACATTTCGCTCCCGAACCATAGAAGACCTGCTCGCACGTATAGCCGCATCGTCCTGCTGGAAGATAAACTCTCCTCTACCGTGACTGGCAAGAAATGGCAGCAGGTGTCGCCCAAGCATGTCCTGGTAGTCTACTGAGTTCTTTTTCGTGGAAATGAAGGCTAGTTCGAGCTTGCCGCTTTGGTGGAATCCTCCCCAAACCATAACGCTGCCTCCGCCTGAAGTTACGCTTGCTGAAGTATTTCTGCTCCTTGCGAAGATCCCTCCAGTAATAGGCGTACCCATCTGGACCATCCAGGTTAAATTTCTTCTCATCGGAGAACACCACCTAAACAGAAAATTTCGTCGTTGGAATAGGTTTAGAAAGTACCCCCACCTTCGACCAATTTGTTGCCATGTTCCTTCTGGCAAATCGCAGCCGAGCCTCTTTGTGAGACTCGGTAAGTCGGGGAGCTGGACGAAGACGGCATCGCACAATGTTGCTGTTGCGTCTGATCGCTCTCCAAACCGTCATTTTGGAAACGGCAGTCGGTAAGCTGGCACGAACGTCGTTGACGCTGATCGTCGAGTTGGAGACAAGCCGTCCAATCTGGCGTTCGTCTTGGGCAAGTGAGCTTCTTCGGCCTACCAGATCTTCTCTTGCCTCCATAGGATTCCGGCGCACGCAGATACCGACTGACAACCAGAAGGCGAACGGAGCAGCTGGCGAGCGATCTCACGATTGCTCAGACCTGCTGTGTGCAGGGCGCTAATCTGAGCCTGCTCTTCGTCGGATGGATGAGATTCTCGTGGCATTTGGTGATTGGTGCAGGACTGTTATTGTTAGTTACTGCCTTCGCGAAACGGTAACTTTTCTCAGAAAGAAATGTGTTTCAGTCAAATTTCCAAAGTGTGTCTATACTTATGATACAGCCCGATTCGAAGCTTATCGATAAAAAAATTCCCGATTTCTTCCAGCTAGCGTGAAAAGCGGTCAAAAAGGTGTTTGATGCTGAGCCTGATGACAACTAGTTTTTTTTTTTTCTAACAAGGGCAAGCGATACCAACTCGTCCTGGCATTCAGAATGAGATGATGTATACTCCTAGAAGCGTCTTCGGACGCTGATATCAGATCTGACTTCCAAATCTGCTAAACGATTCTGGGTGGAGAGTTACGGACCTTTTTTGCTACCGTGCTTAACCATTGCGGTGCGGAGGCGGGGGGGGGCGGGCGCGGGCGGTGCGACCCCCTGCCCATGCTTTGCGCTCGTAAACCCCTCGTGACCCAGCCGCCGCCGTGGCTCGATGGCGCAGCAGGTAAGTGGATGGCTTCATAGTGGTGAGACGGAGGTTCGAATCCTTGATGCATTTCGTAGTTTTGCTTTTTCTTGAAACGCATGTTAACACTTGGAAGTAGTTTTGCATACCTGTCCGACCACCACGACCCCCTCCCTGCTACTTATTGAGCCCCGCGAACGACTTTCGTGGAAACTTACACTTTTGCCTAACTAGCTCAAGCAAGGGACCAAATACACATGCATATCTGCCTTGGATTCTCGGTGACTGTTGGCATCATCTGTATAGGATGACAACTGTGGCCAACGAAAGAATTCGTCATCTCTGGTTAGCCTCTTTTTCACTCTACGCCACAATATTTAGCCATAGCATCGTTTGCGACCCTGTCCACCATAGTTGGGATGTTTTCTGCTCGGCACTCTGGGTGCTATCACAGCCTGTAGTGAAAGAATTCGGGTCTTGCGATATTGTTTGATCACTATCCCGTAAAGAAAAGAAGATTGCAGAGAGTTTTTATCCTATTGTGCGCGACGCACTGTACTACAACCGTATAATCGACTGCGAGGGAGATAGCTTCGTGGAGGACGAACATACGGATCCTTTCTGGGCATCTGAAGATAACGATGAATCCCTTCAGAGCATCTAGATTTGAACAATTTCTTTCTTAATCCTGGTATTCAGCAGGTTACCTTGACACTCATCCAGACGAGTTCGAGAGTTCTCTCCAATATTGCATTACATATCATCTGGAGGGAATCTGTGAGAATAATGGTTGCAGCGAAATTCTTTTTATTCGCAGCTCACCCAGGATGTGGAAGGAACTTTTTTGCTCTAACCATTTTGTATTGGGATATCACACTGTGCTCGCTTAAAGGCACAACCTGCGATAAATCGCAATCACAGATAGTGCATTAGGGGTTCGCATAGACTAGAGCTGTGTAACTCGGTAATGAAAAAAAGGCAGAAAAAACTCGTCACCCGCCTTACAATTAGATAGAATCCCATTTCAAGCCACTTTGTACGTGCCCAGTGACATTCTACACTACGCCCTCAATCCACAAGCTAGTTTCACTATAAGAATTCTACGACCTTACAAGTGAGCCTACGATTTTCATGCTTTTTCGTCCTCCAGCTTCATTTTTCATTGGATGATGGGCTTTGAAGAGTCCTTGGAGCACCCGAGCCACTGGATGAAGGAGTGTTCTCTTTTGGAGCTATATTCGTCTATAGCACCCTCGCCTTACCAATTTTATTCGCCGGTAAACAAAGTACAGGTTGTTTCTTGCGGACCACTACCCTCGCGACACCATATTTCCAACTTTATTCCTGATCGTGGACCAAGCCTTTGATGTTTCCCATTAAATACGAAAATATATGCCTCGAATGAAGCTGTCACGCAATGAATGCTTTCACTGAAGTTAAAATAAAACCCCTGAAAAGTCGCACATAGGCCCTAATAAGAAGCAGGGAGGGGTCGTGGTGGTCGGACAGGTATGCAAAACTACTTCCCAAGTGTTTAGCATGCGTTTTCAAGAAAAGCATAAAACTACGCTACGAAATGCATCAAGGATTCGAACCTCCGTCTCACCACTATGAAGCCATCCACTTACCTGCTGCGCCATCGAGCCACGGCGGCGGCTGGGTCACGAGGGGTTTACGAGCGCAAAGCATGGGCAGGGGTCGCACCGCAATGGTTAAGCACGGTAGCAAAAAAGGTCCGTAACTCTCCACCCAGAATCGTTTAGCAGATTTGGAAGTCAGATCTGATATCAGCGTCCGAAGACGCTTCTAGGAGTATACATCTCATTCTGAATGGCCAGGACGAGTTGGTATCCTTCCCTTGTAAGAGTGCCTGAAGAGTACCTCTTATGGTTACTTTAGAAGGTGTTTGTCTATACTTATGGTAGGTATAGAACTCACATGTAAGCATGTAAATGTTGGTTATTTGCAAATCCCGCTCACCTGAGTAAGCTTTTTGCTCAACCATGTCAGGTTCTTCATGAACTTCTTTCTTGACACCATTTAACTCTGATGTCTCAGCACTAGGGAAAACTGCTTGCTGAGGACAAGCAAATGAGATCAGCTGTTCTGCAGCGATAGGCTGAAAACAATTAGACGACAATATGAACTCCTTGTTCTGTGAACCACACACTTGCTAGCAAAAAGTAGTAGAAAAAAGGCTTGAAATCGTTAGGAACCACAGTTCAAAGGTGGAGGCTCCGGGGCTGTATCCAGCAGCGACTTCAAAAGCATAAGTCGCATTTATGATGGGCCCTAAGGAACCAGTTACTGGTACACTTGTACACTTATGTTCGGCCTCCAAGTAGCCAGTCTGACCCTTTTACCCCAGTTTTGTACGAGGAATCCTTCGAAGGTTCTCAAGGGACAAGCCTCAGGATCTTCTCGAATATCGTTACTTCACTCTAAGCTTTTCCTTGTTTCATGTTGTCTAGATCACCTACATACAGGCGTCAGTCATGCTATCGCTGCCGTAGTTACGAGGATAAGCGTCTTCAGCAACACTAAAGCGTTCATACTTTGCGAGTCGGCGTTTTAGGAGAATCAGGAGAATACAGGTATCGATCTGGCATTTTGAGCGAATCGACGTTTCGGGTAAATTAGAGTTTGTGCCGATCAATTCCAGCCCCCTTTTCCCATTCAGAACGCCGATTTCCTTTGAACACTGATCCTCTAAGTGCACAAATCGATGCCTATACTTCGAAAAAAATATTCAGATATTCTTTTCAAGGAAAATAATAACAGAGCCCGACAGGTTGCGTTTGGACTGATTACTTACAAAGAATGTTTTCGTGTCCATCTTTAGCAAGTCCATAACATCCATTTTGTCTTCAGTGGAGATTCGAAGGTTTGCAGGCCTTACATCATGTCCAAGATGTCCAATACAGCATTCGTAATCGACACTCCCGTCTGCTTGTTCAGTTATCTGGGGTCACTTTTTTTGATAAACGAGAATTGCTTGAAATTGGGGACAATTTACAACCTTCAAGAAAGCAGGGCAATGTGACTGAACTCGTAGACTTTTACTGTTATAATGACGAATTCCTCTGGCATCAACTTCTGCGTGTCCTCGTGCATATTTACATACGTACAGATGTTTCTTCCCATTTTTGTAATCCTTAGAACGTCTCTTTGCAAAAAAGGTGTAAGCCGTCGTTTCCAGAGAGAGCTTCCACGCCTAAGATATTTCTGACAGACAAGCCAAAACTATCACGTTGGCCCAACGGCGTTTTTGTAACTTGAAACTTTGTATAAAACAGGAAATGTTTTGCTAGTCCTTTTCAAATTGTTGGAACGAAATTCTGTGC